CTCTCTTTCTCAGTCTAAGTAGCGTGTTAATGTTTCCGGAGGATGCAAGTGCGAGCAGTGAGATACCCATAAATATACCGTGAGACTATTGTATTGTTTATCGTTAAGAGTGAGAGTGAAGAACCAAGAGTGCGAGTCTACCCGTAAGCATGCTGATTTCATCAAGTAATCGTATTACACGTATCTTTCAGACTTTGGTCAAATTTCGTACAAATCGTCATTAAAAAAATATATCAACATTATAGTTCACTTTGTCAAGGCGAAAAGCAATCTAATATTGAATAATCTATCAGATTGACACTTTTATAAAACATCTTATGAACCGATTTATGATGATTATGAGACGTCTTGCTTTTAGATACGGCAAAATAAAAATTATGCGGAAACAAAAAGAACATAAGACAGGAATTAGTGTTGATGATAGATATCAGTATTATATAGTATATCAATTACTCAATATTTACTTAATTTTATTAATTTTTCATCTATTTATATATCCCTTATATATTGCAATAGAAATTTTAATCGTTATAATAAAAGTAATAAAAATATAATCTTGTTGAAGTGTGATTAAAGTGTCCTGCCGAAGATGCTGTATAAACACCCAACTTTTTTAACTACGAGATAAATTTTTAATTTCCAAAATGAAGCAAAGTTTCAAAATACCTAATAAATAATCATTTTCATATGTTTTTTCATCAAGATTTTTTTAAAGATTTTTTTAAGATGTCTTTTAGTAAGTTTTTTAAGATCTTTCAGTACAATCTTAGACGTCCCTAAAAATAACATTTTTCAAATATTTTTTCAGATATATGTTGTGTGATAATAATATAATTCATGATAAGTAATCTATAATCCACTACAGATTTTGAAAAAAATGCCCGTTTAAAAGCCTTAAAAATAATTATATCTAGGAGTATCAAGCAATTATTTTTAACTATTTCCATTTCCTAACTTGATATTTTTTTCATATATTAAACATCTTCGAATTTTCTAACTTTTTAAATTTTCTTCTCTGAAACATTAAAAGATTAGAAAATTTTATAATTATATTTTTAATACTAGAAAAAATATTAATTTTAGAAAATAAAAGTAATCAAAAACGATTTGGTATTTCATTTGATATTTCTAATGTTAAAATTAAAAAATATATGTTATTTGACAATAGTTTACCAACCGATCGTCATAAAGAAAAAATAAATAACAAACACAAATCCTGAATTGCCAATTTGATTTTCAAGCTGATGTCTGACAAAATATACTAAAGTTTATAAAAAAATGTTTTATCATCTAAAGCGATATCGTTTCTCTGATATTTCATAAACAGGTTAAGGGGAGAAAAGAAGAAAAGGGTGAGATATATAGGAAACAAGGAAAAAAATCGGTGTTTCGTGCATCGCTCCGCAACGAGATATATCGTTAATATTGAAAAAAGATGAATAGAAAAAGATCTAAGTGCAAAAGTTGGATTTCTATCATCAGAAAGAACATGTGTTTGGCGTGACTCAACTTAGAGCAATTTCTACCCCCGTATTTTTTTTTTTTTTTTTTACTGACCGATATCATCGGCTGTAATCGACGCTCGAGGTAGCCGCTGTAGCGCTGATAAAACGCTAGGTAGTAAATGCAGACAAGTGCCAGGCCTACCAGACCGTAGAAACTCAATCGCTTCGACATCCTTAATCCTAAAAAACATGGAAGAAGTTCAGGTATCTGTTGCTGGTTCACTGCAACCATCTTGAATTGTGATGTCACAAAAGTGCGAATAAACGCATGACGAAAATTCTTACAAAATAAAGTTAAAGTAAAAATATTTTTCGGCAAAGTAACATTCCCAATCGATAAAACAGACTTGTAAAATATACCGAAAACTCCCTCTTTCCTTCAGTAATTAAATATTAAATAATTATATATTTATAAATGAATTAAATCTAAAAACAGAGTTACAATTCAACTGCGAATGTTATTTTATAGAGAAACATTTTTATTTTAATATATTTTGTAAGAAGTTTTACCATATATTTTTTTCACTTTTAACGTCACAATTTAAAAATGATTGCAGCAAACCAGCAAGAGTTATAAAAAAAAAAAAATCATCATTTGTGCAGATTAAAAGTATACAGGCAACGGTCGAGCGATTGACAAGATTCTACAATGAAAACATAATTACCGTATAATTAATGCATTATAAAAACATCGCCATAAGATTTCTTGATCCAAGAAAAGAATTTTCCATATATACTTA